TGCCCTGGGGTTCAGTGCCCAAACACCTCTGGGGGAAGAACCTTGTCCTGTGGGTAAAGTGATTGTGGAACTGGCACAGACTCACTCCTCTCCTCGTGCCAGTGTGGGGCGAGGAGCCTCGGGGGCTCATAAACCCACCCAGCCTCTTGGGCCAGTCTGGTGTGTGCTCAGCTCTGAGCAAACGAGTCAGGCAAGAATGGATCTGAGGTGGGATGTGGGAGGGACCCACAGTTCCTCTCTGGGGGACGGGGACAGCCTTGTAGAAAGGGTTTTGAAGAGAAAAGAAGGGAAAGGGGTGACATCCACCTCTGCAGCTCCCTGAAGTCCCTCCTGGGGACTTCACCCTTCCCAAGAGCAGCCTCAGTGCTGCCTCTCCCCCTTCCCCAGGAACACAGAGGCAGCAGAGAGGTGACCAGGGCTGTTTAATGTGCCTGTGCCGCTCCTGCCTGCACCCACCTGCCCTCCTGAGCACTGCCCAGCGTGTCCTGTCTGTGCCAACGTCCCCAGCTCTAGCACGAGCATCTTTTCCTCTTCTCCTCCTTCTCCACCTCCCGAGCCTTGCGCGGCGCCGGCAGCGGGACACTGCTCTTCACCCCATCCCAGGCCTCGGGGGCAGCCAACCTCCCTGTCTGCAGCGCCTGGTAGATGGCCACGGTCAACATCTGGAAGGCCTGGACCACGTTGCTGGCATCCTTGGCCGAGGTCTCGACGTACTGCACGCCCAGGGAGGCTGCCAACTTCTCTGCCTCCCTCCGGGCCACCCTGCGCTGCCCGGCCAGGTCGCTCTTGTGTCCCACCAGCAGGAAGATGATGCTGAAGGGCTGGATGGTGTCTGTCACCTCCCGGTGCCACTGCCGCACGCTCTCGAAGGACGCGCGGTTGGTCAGGTCGAAGAGCAGCATTCCCCCGGCTGAGTTGCGGTAGTAGGAGCGAGTCACAGACCTGAGGTGCCAAGAGAAAGGGGTGAGCACACCCCTGTGCCACCTCAGGCAGCATCTCCTGTCCCTGCAACCAGCACCTTGTGCTCAAAGCAGTGAGAGGGAGGAGAATCAGCAATTGCTCTGGGCGGTTCTGTCCCTGCTTGGCCAGCAAAGCTCATTCATCCCCCGCGGCCACAGTCCCCACACACTCCTGTGTCCTGCAGACACATCCCCAGTGCTTCCTCAGACCTTCAGCCACAGTCTGGGAGTTCTCCTGTTGTCCCTGCAGCCACCATCTGGAACTTTCACTGCCCTGCAGCTGTGGTTCTGGAGCTCTCCCACCCCTGCAGCCACACACCTGCCACTCTCCTGCCTCCTGCAGCCACATCTCCCATCTCCCTGTTCCCATCACATCTCCCTGTTCCCATCACATCTCCCTGTTCCCATCAGCCAGCCCAGTCGGTGGTGGCAGACCCACAGTGAGGTCTAAAGGCTCCTGGCAGCTGATCTGAGGATCAGCTTTGCCCAGTTCCC